GCACATTTCCCTTCTGGTAGTCATTACTTTGGCTCCTTGGCCAGCTACTCACCAAGGTTTCACCCATGAAGTCTGCTTTGGGGCTGCTTTATGTGTAAATAGGCCTGCTTGTGTGTGAGAGTCACAACCTTTGGGGCAGCATGGGTTGCCACCACACAGCCTGCAAGATGAACTGGTTCTTCCCACAGCGAAGCCACTGGCTCATCCCCACCTACGTTCAGGTCACGCTGCTGAATTATGGCTAATGGTCCCTGAGAGCCTAGACCATATTTCTTCCCAGGTGCATTTACATGATGGAGCCAGGTAGCTTTCAGTCTTAAACAACAAAGATCAAAATTCCCGTTGGCTGTGTCAGCACCAAATTCAGAACAGATGTGCAAATTGGTATTAATTATTGCTCCAGCCTCCCAGGCCAAAGGAGAGTTCACTACATCCCTTTATAACCTCCTTCTATATGCATTTAATTTACATGTAAAAGGGCTCTAAGCTAGTGTCAACTGCCCTCTGCCAAATGTTGTAAACTGAAAGGAAGGGAGATTATCTGAACACCCATGGCCTTCCTCCACTTTTGGACCAATATGTGGAGAGAAGTTTGCACAACTTGTTTTGTAGGACTATCACGTAAGGAGGATTTGGCTCCAGGTGTCCTCAGAGCCTATTGACGTCAGAATCTGTCATATCTATCATTTCATCCGAATGCCGGAGTCTCTTTCTCATTCTGATTTTCAAGTAAACCTCACAGAGCATCTCATAACTGAATACATAATAGAAAAATAATAATGGGTGCTGTCAGATTTCTGGAGTAATCTCTGTAAATGCAATCATGCATTTTAGAAAAATAGGCATATCAAATAATTCATAAATAACTTTGCAATCTTTCAGTCAGGGGAGAGGAGGAGACTAAAGCCTACAAAAATACAGTGTTAGGAACTCCTGAACGCAGCCTCTGCAATATGCTCTAATAACTGTTGCTATTCCTGAGATGCTGCGCTGAGACTGTAACAGCTGATTTCCTTGTGAAACAAATCCGCAGTGCTGTTGGCCAGGCTGTCTTCATCTAGTAGTTTAAAGGCAACCCAGAAGTGATCTGCATCTATGACAGCTCTGACTGGGGGTAGCTCTGAGCCAAAAAATTTTGGCAGTTTTATACTAACAACTTTCTTACTTCTGACTCCGTGGTCCACACAACCACAGGGTTTGTGTCTGTCTGCCCCTCCTATCTAAATATGACTAGAAAGTATTAAATGCTCCAGTTTTTTGATGTGTTTTAATTATACAAACTAAGCATACTTAATCATTTTACCGTTTTTGTGAAAAAAAACTCACATTTTTTAATATGGCTATCAAAATCATATAATTATGAATGGACCAATGACCGACAATATTATCTCTTCATGTTCAAAATGTTCTACGACAAAATAGAGAGGTACACCCTAACATTTTCTGTATGAAGTTCACTTCTAGCCTAAACATTCCCACCACTGTCCTTCTTTTGGCAAAATATTTGGTGCCTTTTACTTTGTTTTCTCTCGACAGTCAGAACTGCTAGCTACAACTGAAATATGTGTAACACACATACAGCACACACCTACACACCAACAGAAAGTTCTATTGTATTTTTCACACCACAACCTGTGTTGAAATTGTCAACTCCAGAAGAAATATGAATGTTTCTATTTGGCACTTTAACCAAGTTTGTTCCTTTTTCTGTATTGAAGAACCTTTATACTGTACCTGGTAAAACAAACAACAGGCATGATCTCTTCAGTGGCATTGCATTTTACTTCCGACAGCTCACTCTTTAAACTGTTCACCTCCTAGCAGAAATTAATCATCTCAGACTTCTGTATAAGCATAAAACTAATGACATTTTAGGCTTTTGAAGTCCTTTTTCCCAAGACTAATATGTTTGTGTCATTCCCATGCCAATAGCTTTTACACCCTTACTCTTGACTTGCAGAGTTGGATTTTAGTCTATGTAAAGATTTCCATAAAGATTTGTTTTGTTCATATTTCTATGATATAATAAATAATTCAGAATTTGTGCCAACTGCTCATCTGATTACATAAGTTTTTTTAGTTTTAAGTACATTCCTTAAGAAAATAGGTCTTAAGCTTACTTGTGTGTGCATAACAGTCCAGGTAGGGAAGAACTTCTGGCAGTCAACTGCACCAACCAATCAAAAGCAAATTCAATCTATGACAGCTTGTTCAGGGCAGAGTCAACGCAAGTTTCGATTATCTCCAAGGATGGAGATCTCTCAGCCTCTCTGGGTTCCTATCCCAGTGTTTGACCACTCTCAGAGTGAACATCTTTTTCCTAATATCTAATCAAAATTTTCCGTGCTATGGCTCTAACATGTGGCCTCTTTTGTCCTTCCAATGCATTCTTCTGAAAAGAACGTTGCTCCATCCTCTCTTCACCCTGTAGGCAGCAGTTAGACTCCACAAGGCTCCTTGAGAGCCCCTGCTGTAGAGGAATCTGGCAGTAAGAGACAGAAGGGTTTTTATTCATTTTTCCTGCAATTATTACGTACTCATAAATGATGAATTATGTAAGAAGTTGTGCCAGGATCTTTAAGACTCTTAATTAAATTTTGCTGATGAGTGTCTGTTTTTGATTTCTTTTAGCGTTGCAGTGCAAATTGCAAGTTATCTTAGAGGTAAATTAGGTAAACTGACTATAAATTCCTGACTGGAAACTGGAATCTGTCAAGGTGCATGGCATGACACCTGTCTGCCACATGAAAACCAATCTTCCTTTCTTTTTCTTTTTTTGAGGTTGGTTGGTTTGGTTTGGGTTTTTATTGTTATTGTTCCATCTTAAATGGGGGCCTCTTTTAATAGCAAATCAGTCACGAACATTTTCAGTATTGAAAGTTCAAGACTTCAGGATCAGAAAAATGCAAATCCAGATTCCTCCATTTTCTTACATGGCCTGCAATTAAAATGATTATTTCGGAGAGTGAGAAAATGTTTGTGTCTTTCTGTTTTCCTCCTTCAAGAAAAAACCAATATAATCTACTAGTAGTGCACCTGACTGTGAGCATAACAGTTCCCCAATTTAGCAAGGAGATTTGTGTATTCTTATGTGTTAGCAAGAACATCCTCACTAAATGATTTGGCTTGCTCCGTGATTACCTCGCTCTTACAATCTCAATTGCTGCAAAAGGCTGTGCTAGAAACGTAACTCCTAAAGTATACCAGAGGCAAGCAGTAGGACTGCACATTCCCAGAATTTAATCAACCAGCAAGAAGAAGCTGTTTAGAAACTTAAGCTACTACTGACCTGTGATATGAGGGATCAGTGCTTCTTCTTCACCCAGGTCACTAAGGGCACAGAGCAGGAAGGCACCAAGTCAACGATGTTAGGAATTCTCCTCACATTAATAAGACAGACAGTCACATCAGCAACAGAGTACTTCTCTCTCTTTTTTATATTTATTTGCTCATTTCTTACCTGGCAAACCATTTTTTCCAGGCTGTTTCCCAACCAGCCTCAACAACTAGAAGAGAATTCTTCCTCTCCTTCTATTAGGCAGCTGCTGTGATATCAGGTAGAGGTTTCTGCAACTCAAGACTTTAGCAAAATCAGCTCCATTGGAATGGGTTACCAGGTATTTCCCCATTCCACAGCTACAGCTGGTGGACCCCAGCAGAGAGGATACAAATTCTGAGAAGTGAGTGAGCAAGGATGTTGACTGGTGAGAACAGGAAGGTGGGATGGCATTGTCGCACCAAAATGTCTCTCCATGGCTCTGAAAGGAATTACCTATGGTCTTGATCAAAGCTGCTTACAGGGATGATCTTTATCTCAAAAATAACACCTGTTGTTATGCTTATTGCAGCCTATGGATTCAGAAATTTTGTCAGAGAGGCAAAAAACCCATGCCTCTTCTACAAGCAAAGGAAAACGCACACAAACTTCAGACAGGTTTTCTGGCTTATGTTTCACCCATGAAGAGGCTAGCTTCATTGACTAAAGCTGCCTTTAAAGCAAATTTGCAAAACATGAATATGCACTCCAGATGTCAAGGACTTCCACGCTCCAAACACAGCAATCTTGTGGAATAGCAGCGCATGCAATGGTTTTAGTAAAGCCAACGGAATCCTCTTGACTTTGATTTTTTCTGCGACACTAATTTAGTCACCAGCACCTTTAGTTTTGTTAATCTAAAAGAACTAATGCGACACTAGTCTCTCTCGCAGCATTCTCATATCACATAGATAACATCGAAATAGCAGCCCTTGCCAAAAAGTTTCTGCAAAGGGTTTGGGAGGTGTTGTTATCTTTCTTTCCATCCAGAGTGCCTCTGATGTTTGAGCAACGTGTTGTTAATCTTTTTTTTTAATCACCTTTCTGAGGGTTGCAACAAAGAGAGGATTTTTGTTTGATGAAAAAAACAAGGAATGAAATGAAGCACCTATGCTGAGGCAACCTTAAGGAGATGAATAAAACAAAACAGTAGAAAATGCAGCTGGAGTTAAGTGCAAGGAACAATCAGCTATCTCCATAATCCTTTAGCTATTTTTAAGACCATCACAGAAGGAGGTTTCACTGACTCAATTAATCTCTCTCTACATATATTTGGTATACTTCTAAGTCAATTTTTTAAGATGTTCAAAATGAATTCTGTGTGCTGTAGTTTTGGTTCACTTATTTTTGGAAAGTCTGCAGTGAATCTGAAGGAGATATTATTCCCTTCCTTTCTTATATCTGTCTTTTTGTGTCTTCAAGACTATGTTCATATTTTTCTGCAGTCTGTTTTTTTTTTGCTGGATAAATCAACTTAATTCATTCAGGTTTTTTTGCCTGGCTGTATCCTCTAGACTGCTCTCACCTCATTGTTCCGTGTGTCTCTCGAAATGCAGTGCCCAGGAGTGGGCATAGGACAGCTGCTGGGTATAATGGAAGGATTAGAGCATAGGCAAAAAAGACCAGTGTCAATTCCACGATGGTGGCTGTCGCTCTCATTGTAGAATGATATTATCCTGTCGTGTGCCACTTGTAGAGCACTTTATATGCTGCACCGGGGTATATTTTGAAGGCTTGCCCGACCCTATGTGATTACACCCACTGAACTTTAGAGTCCTGCACTTCTCCTTTGTTGAAAAGCATCTTGTTTTATTTCCAAGTGCATGTTTCCAATTCATCAAGACCATTTTGATTTCTAGTCCTAGGCTCTGTGAGGGCCTTTATCACAGTGGGCATCCCATTAATAACCACAGAAGTATTCATTTTGCAAGCTAACACAGACTGAGAGAGGCTGCACTGATTTAAGTTGCCTATAATTACAGTTCCTTTAATCCCCAAGAATAAGATCTTTTTCTCTTCTCTCTGAACAGCAGCTACCACAAATAGATGAATAGAAACTTTGTCTTTATTCCTTTGTCTGTGGCCTTTCAAACTTGCCTCTCCTATATTTGACTTTCGCACATTTTCATATTCTGGTTTAATTGTATATTTACATAGAGCCTTAGCCCAAAATTTCTTAACTCTTAAGCAGTGATTTACATAGCAGGAGGGGATTTAAACTGACCATACCTGCTGCACCCTTATGGTGGAGAAACACCCCCCTATCATAGTCACTGTTGCTTCATAGCTACTTCTTCTGCAGGAATAGTAAAAAGGTTTAAGCATCAGTGCCTTTTTGTTTGTATCCATATCATTATAATACAGTAATACAGGATTTCCTTCAAGAAAATGCTTCCCTTATTTTATACAAGAGAAAACAAAAACAAGTTTTTCCCCTTAGGTTTCTTCATGTGTGAAAGGTATTTTCTTAAACGGAAAAGACAAAACAAACTCTGAGGAGAACCCACCGACTGCAAGGAAAAAAGTGTTTTTAAAATTTTATCATTTATAATTTTAATTACCTTCCAAAAGGACACTTCCTTCCAATTCCTGTACAAAACAAAGCATCCCCATAAAAATAGTTACACTATGTCTCTGTCCCACATTTTTGAAGGGAATTTGTTTCAAATAAATTCAAGAGCTTTGCAGACACCCAAAAAATGTAGTGAGTTTTTTGTCTAAAAGCTAAGCATTCAGCCCACAAAAGTTGTCATATCTAGGTCTTTCTATAACCAGTGCAGGAAGGCCATCCCAAGTTAGGTGAGATGAATTGTGACTCATCTCTGAGATGCTGCTATTTTCTATGACAATTTAGAATAGCTGTTTCTCTTCAGATCTTTAAAGATAAGTGAGATGGCCTAAATTGTAGATTATGCTGGCAAAAGTTACCATCCTGAGAAAAGTGAAACAATATAAAAACAACCTTCATTGTGTGCTTAAGCTGATTTCTGGGTTGTTATTGCAAGTACACCGCATATTGCTTTTCCTGTGAGCCTGTACAAGCTACAGTTTAGTGTGACAACCTACCTGTAGCAAAGCTGAGGCTGGTTCCCACAAATGACTCTCCAGCAGAGAAGGTACCATCTTTGCTGGCTGGGAAGGGCCAAGAGCTGAGGAAGCACTGAAGGTCACGGCAGAGTAAGAAGCTCCTTGCACCTCCTCCTTTCCTGCCATTTCACCTTCCTTCCCTATGCTCACAACTGAGCAGCGTTCTCTTTGTGGGCAGCAGGAGCCCTGGTATTTGCTCAGCCATGCCAAAGTGGCTTAGTGGCTGCCAAATGCTTTTAATGAGTGCTACCCCCTCCTTTTCCTCCATCATCAGCCCAGTCAGGTAGGCATGGGTTTCACTGACTGCCTCCTCCCCCCCCCGCTTGCACAGGGCAGTGCTTTGGGGTCACTTCTGCAGGGCCAGCAACTAGGGTCCTTCTACAACTGAAGCCCTAATCTGTCTCCTCCATATCCCACATTATGTGTTTGCTGTCAGAAACTGGAGGATCCCAAACGACTGCATTTACATAGTCTGAAACTCATCCCAATTGGTAGGGTGTGAATCCAGGTGACCAACGCATCTGAAGCACTGGAAAAACACAGGGAGACAGAGCAGGGAGATGAAGGCTCTTCTGTATGTCGTTCATACGGATTCTCTCCTCCTGAAACATCAAAGGCAGGGATCTGGTCAGGAGCAGCAGGCTCTGGAACAGGGGTCCCTTATGGTCTCTACCAGTTCTGCTGAGCCATATATGGTTTGGGTTTTTTTTCCTCTTCAACACTAATAATATCTCTATTATTGCTGTTGAATACATTCAAATCTTTTTCTCCTGAGCTTACTTGCTCTTTGCCTTTCAAACCTGTTACTGTGAAAAATCCCCTCTTCTACTCATCTCTGCAGAAAAGCAGCAGGACCATCTTTCTCCATGCTACTACATTCAGCTTTACACAAGACAGTTTTTTATATGTGAGAATTCTGCAGAAATGCCGAATATTTTCTCCAAGCTGACCTCATGCTCAACAGGGCTTCTCAGGCTCAGAACTGAATGGACTCTATGGAGAAAACATAAATTTCATGCTCTTATATGGTGAGGAGAAACCTACAGTGTGTCCACTGACAAATAACTATCCTGCAACTAGAGAGGTCCCAACTGGTTTGGGTAAAGACCAAAAGGAGGGAGAAGATTGGGCGTGCACTCCGAAAACAAGCAAACGTGTGTATGTACGCCTTTTTCCTGCAACCAGAGGATCCTGATGCTTTGAGGGCGTCAATAACTTTTTTTCCTTACTTTCTTTTCTCTGTACACACTACCACTAGAGGACGTTTTGTCATCACGTAGAGATCACCACACAATTTTACTTTTCCTTACAGTGGTTCATTCTTTCTTTGCAATCTTGGTGCACATCTCCAGATAATGTAGTGGATGTCTGAATTTCGTAGGGCTTGTGGATGACCTAGAGTCACTGGAGCTAGGAAAGGAGAGAAGTATGTATTTCCTCCATTTCTCTAAATGAGCCCATCTGTCAATATTCCTCTCAAAATAAGGCAGCTGGATATTTCACAGCTTGCTGGAGCAACGCGAGAAAACTGAGGGCTGCCTCTCATTTTAGTGTTAAGTGCCAAACACAGACACTGCTAGTGGTTTCATGAAGGTAGAAATAATATACAGCCACTGCAAATCAAACTGGAATGAACATCACCAGCAGTGATGAATGGTATTTTCAGAAAGAACAAGAATATCTTTTAGACTAAATAATTAGAAATCAATTGGCAAAAATCTAATGTCCTTTTTTCCATTCTCACTTCATTTTTCCTAGGATAACTGTCTGCCTTAAATCAAATCTCTACCCATCCACCTACCGATTAACTTGTTTTCCTTCTCTCCAATGCAGACAGAGCAGCTGGTGACTCTTTGGATTCTCTTTATTGCCACAATTGCTGGAAACGCCATCGTGCTCTTCTCTACCTGGAGGAGGAAACGGAAATCTCGAATGACCTTCTTTGTTACGCAGCTGGCAATCACAGGTAGTGTCTGGGAGGGGATAGGGCATCTGAACTGCACAGCAATAACTATTAAATGGCAACAAAATACAAGTTGAGTGCTGAGGAATTCAGTTGCCACCTAATATCCAGTTGCCATAAGACAGGCGGATGGCTCCTTTTCTTAGGGTTCAGTCTCCTTCTGATCTTAAAAGATATTGCCAGAAGTAGTTAGTGCCTCTCAGATGCAGCAGCTGCAGCTCATTGATTTCACTGAGTCTTATATTTCAGGCAAAATCTGCATCTACATTTCCCAGAAGTTATGTCCCTAGCTGTTGTCATGGAACTGTAGAAATTAAACTGGTTTAAGATTAATCTCTTACAGTTTCCTAGTAAAATTCTTTCTAAAATATTTCATAGTGGTATTGTTCCGTCAATTTGGCTCTTGAATTGAAGAGTGAAAATAACTTCATGTTGTCTGGTTTAACAAAGTAAGGGAAAGATAAAAATGTAAATGTGGCGAGAAATGCATTTAGCTAATTTTTTTTGAAGGAAAAAAGGATGTTGATCCAATAACTTTGTAGTTTTTTAAAAAATGGAAAATATAAAGAAACCTGGTTTGTAAAAAGCAAATCTCAGCAACTAGGAAAGGAAACAAGACACCTATCAGCACATTGTTTCACTGTGGCCTTGAATGGACTAAATTTGTTGGGGTTTGAGTTTCCCAAGGGAAAATATACATTGTTTCTATAACAGTGTTTTGTTACTAATCCCTGCTTACAACACAGCTGTGTGGTATTGTTTGTGTATAAAAGATATATTTATATGCTTTCTTTTGCTTTATTTGTAAGATATGGCAGGAATTACAGCTCTTTTCCACTACAAAATTATTTAATATGTGATTTCCCAGCAATATTTCATCCTCCTTTGATGATAGTTTTACCTCTGTTTAAACTGGAAAAGCTCAAGACTACACTCCCCAATTTTCAACATGCATTCTTTGCAAGCAGATGAACTCTGCTCGTGGTTTCAGCCATGTCTTCTCAGGAGTTTGTCCCATTTGAAGAACTACTCTCAGTTGAAAAAGACCATGGTGTGCAAAGCGATGCAAAAGCACTGGCCCATAAACACAGGCGACATAAGCATTATTGCAAGATAAGAAGGTTAAGGTTGGCAGTTACTCCTCTTTCTGAAATGCTGAGGGCTGGTTTTCCTATCCACATTTGAGTCATCTGTAATAAATGTTTTCACTCCTTATCTCGCTCATGACTTTCATTTCATTTCCTTGGTGTGCCAGCGATAATTTCTATCAGTTAAGGCATGTCGATACAGCCTCACAGCACAGTTTGTAAGCATCAATCACATTAAGCTTTCCAGTGTTCACAGGAGATTAAAAAAATACAGTCTCTGCTCAAAGAGCTCCCAGTACCAGATGAAAAGAGTAAAAGTAGTCAACAAAGAAGTATGGGCCAAGAACAGAAAAGCAACTGAAGCCCTAGATGGACACTGTCCATTTTCTACGTACTGTCATTAGCCAGCAAGAGTATCAGAAGCAGCTGTCATGAGAAGGGCTTTCAAAAATAGGAGAGTGGAAAATGATCCTATACGTTCATCTGGTGTAGAGGACTCAAGGGCTGGGCTTTTTGCCAGAGCAAAGGCTAAGGTAATACACACATCAGTATGGTCTGTATAGAAGATGGATCCTAATAAGAGAAACTCAAATGAAGAGCAAAGGGTCTTGCCTAGAAGGAAACAAATGTATTTACTGCAGCAGAGAAAGAACAAGAATAAGGACGCGAGTGCCAAGGTCAAAGGAATAAAACAAGAAGAACACAGAAGTGTCTGGACTTGGATTGCTCAGGAGAGGGCTCTTTCACAAGATGTGTACTAGGAGGAGGGTACTGCTGTTTCTGTGCTGGGCAAAAGCCTGGGTGGGAGTTTTGCCTCTTTGAAACCTTAGCAGGAGCTGAATTTTTGCATTGAGGTAGATAGAAAGCTATTCACTAGGCATTCAAACACCATCTACATGAAGTGAAGGGAAAGTATTCCAAGAGCAGTTTTGAGGGAGCTGGAATAAGCAGTAAAGACAACATAGTAAATAACCCATTACAAGTGGCGAGCAAATAGTGCTATACAACTGATGTTACAATATTGACTGAGGACCACATGTTCCACTTGCTGATTCTTCCGATCTCCCCTTCCATAAAATTTTGCTTGACTTCTAATATCAGAGCTTGAAAGTGCCTGACTTCAACAGTCTGCTCCATTTCATATTACAGAAATTCACATAGAAAACTCACTTGACATTCCCATCTGTTAAAAGAATTAACACCAGCTTGAACAGCACAACTCCAAGCGATGTCGACTTCTTTTTTGTGATGCAGGAGTCAGTACTCTAATTTATCTTCCCTCACCAAGAGTTTCTGTCAGTATTTTGGCAGAAAGAAATGACTTAATTCCTGAAATGGAACCATTTCACTTTCTTATCTGCAAAAATATAAATAAGAAAAAAGCTAGCTGGCAACAGTCAGTCATCCTTTCACAACAAGTTATGAGGTAGAAGCAGATCATTATGAAAACACTGACTTGTCACATTTATTTGACATGCCAGGCATACTTAAGTCCTACCAACTAAAGCTTAATCTTCTGGCAAACAATTTCTGCTTAGTCAATATTACTACTTCTATCTATTTTGAGATTCTTAAAACATTTACTATTTCTACCCCAGCAGCAGAGAGAAGACTATTGGATATAGCTTTATCAGTGCAGGCATTTCAAAGCCATTTAAAAACTTTCTGTCTATTGATCTGTTGGTCAATAGTTGAGTAGTGTCCTCAGTTCTCACATCTTCCCACTAACGTAGTATCGAAATGAAAATATAACCTTCGTGTCAGAATAATAAATGTATTGCAAGCAAATTGTGCAAAATACATGAATAGGAAAAGAGCACTGTTGTTCTCCTTGACTGGTGGCCAAACCAGATGAAGAAGAGAACTAACTGACTGAGGCTTCTTCCAACTCCATAAGAATTCAGTGATTCAACAGACTCGGCAAATTCAGAGATAAGACTCGTACTAATCCCTTACTACACCATATTTCAGTGCTAGAGGCTGCAGTGATCTGTAGGAATACGAGTAATCCCATCAACTTCAGTGTGTTTGCAGATGCTGCCGCAGCCTAGATTCAGAATATTTCATATTAAGTACATGTCCATACAATGCCTGCGTCTGTACCGCATTTATGTATATGTTTGACTCTCAGCTCATGCATAAAACTTTGAAATTTTCTGGGAACTAAGCACTAGGAAAGCAGCTAAGGGTTAAGGTTTGAATTGAATAGGAGTACTAATCACTAAGTATCAGCTATTTTAACGAAGAGGAATATTGCTGTGTTTGCCTTGGGTTCAGTTTGGTTTCGGCATATTCCTTTTTTGTAAAAATGATTTTCTTAGAATCAAAATCACCTTTGAAGAAAAAAACTAAAGCTAGGTTTCTGACAGATTTCTTTATCAAAGGCAATTTTTTCTCTCAGAAAGGATTAAGCTCTGAAGATTACCCTGTGACTAGGGTATTTCTTAACACTTTTTCCGAAATAGATTTCTTCTGAGTTTAGCAAAAGTTATGGCATAGCTCTTTCTCCTGGCAGAAAACCCCTCATATCTTCCCCCACCTGATTGCCATTTCACATAACTAGCAGCATCTTACTCTCTTTAAGATCTTTGCCTCTGACTGAATTCAGCATGTGGTTCAAGATGAAAGAATGGGGTCTGACGGAGGGGCAAGTTCACAGCTGTTCACACTGGAAATTTTCATGCAAAATATGGTTGTTTTTAGAAAAGAAGTTTTGTGCACACTTTTATATCCGTTTAGGTCACTATACCCATCTCTACCAAATAAAGGCCTTCTTAACCATACTCTCAAACTGTAAAAGCAGCAGACATGGGCATATAAAGTATATTTCTTTCTTTGAGTATCATTCGACAAGGAATGTAATTTATTGGCTAAAGAGTCCCTTCAAAAAAACCTGTTATTATTTGACCCATTCTAAAACTAAATGATAATGCATTAAAAAACTCTGCTGAAAAGTATTTTACTTCTTATTATTCTTCATCCAACTTCAACTATTACTGTCACAGGAAAGTATTCAACTTCTTTTTAATATCTGAAAGTGCATCGTTTATTGAGGGTTTTTTCTCAGAAATTAACATCTGAGAAGTTGCAGCTGGAAATGTCATGACTATTATCTCTGTTATTTAGTCTTTCTATTCAAAGAGCAGAAATCAGTACCTTAGGAGTAGTATTAGTGTTTGTCCATTGCTTGGTGTAGAAATATATGTAGATACTTTATGAATTGCACAATTTTAAGACATAGGTTAACAGACTTGTTTGGAAATACTTGCACATTTAGGTATTGTTGTGGATATAATGAAGAGGGAAAATAAAGAGAATATCACCTAACATCTATGACATCTTACATATAACAGAAAAACAAAAGATTATGTATAAAAGTAATTAGCTACACTCTACATTGTGATATAAATACCAAATCCTAAGGGATGACTTGAGAATGAAACTAAAAAGACAAGGGTGTATTTTTAAAAGTGCCTCTACATTACTACCACCTTCTTCAGTTTCTCCCAGAATGATGGACAACGTGAGGCTTTGGTCCTTAGGGAACTGCACTGTCAGTGTATAGTAAAAAGCCAATACATTGAAAACTTGCTACGAGAATGTCATGTGAGTAAATAGGAGGAAATAGGAGGTGCTAAAGCAAGGGGTGTTTATTTTCTGTTCTTCTTCTGCTCAGAGAGAACATGACTATGGGGATAAAACCAAATGTGCTCAGCAACCAACTTCTGGGATGGTTTTGGTATAGATGACTGAAGGCAGAGTATGACAACTTATCGGCTAGTAAAATGCTCTAAGTACCTGCTACTACTACAAGAGCTAAACACGAACACCTTAGAAGTTGTACTCCGTTCTTTCCTTCCTCCCTCCTCTTCTTTTTCCGACATCAAAACCTTGATAGCACTGACTGCTTTAATG